AGCTTTTGGATCAGTCCCCAGCCTACCTGATTTTCATCTAACCGCTCCTTCTTCTCTGCTTTTTTGGTCCACAATTTTGTTCTTTTTAAAACATTTATCATTTCTTGGTCTATTTGTTGGAACTACCTGTTTATTTCTTCTTTTCCTATTCTAGGCCTTCGAGAGAGCCAGTGCTCTTAGACAAAGCCAGTTTTCTGTCTGGCATGTCAAATGCTGTCTGGCAGTAGTAAGGTGGTAGTAAAAGTTTTACCTTTGGCCTGAGGTGTATAACTCAGTTCTTGCCTACCATGTTCCAGGCTCTGGGTTTGGCCCCCACACATACCTACCCCATAAAGTTCTGTCTTGAATGATGCTTATGGGTGGGTATGGAAACTTACACATTATAACCACGGAATAAGTGTTCTTACTAAAAATAAAAAACACATTCTTTTAAAAAGTTTCAGGTTTTCTCTTTTCAGTCTCCTTTTATTTCAAAGCATTCTGTGCTGTTTATTTACATAATTATAAATGCATTGTAATCTTTTCCTCACACTGAATTTGAATCATCTTAAAATAAATTCTTTTCTGTTCAAATCATTTCATTCAAAATTTTGAGTATCACATCCTCCAAACCTTTCCCTTTCTAATTTTGCAAGTAAGTTTTTCTGAAAAGTAAATGTAAGTCGTACTTCAGTAACACTCAGCTAATTCTTTGCTTTCTTTTTTTTTTTGAGGGTGATACTGGGTTTGAATGCTGGGCCTTGCACTTGCCAAGGAGGCCCTCTACCACTTGAGTCACTCTGCAAGCTCTTGTCCTCTTACTCATGTTTCTCCATGTTTCCTGTGTAGCTGGATGACAGATGTGCATCTTCATACCCAACCATTGGTTGAGATGGAGTCTCTCAAACTTTTTTGCCCATGCTGGCCTTGAACTGCAATCCTCCCCATCTCTCCCTCCCACTTAGCTAGGATTACAGGCATGAGCCACCGTGCCCCAGCTATGCTTTACTTTTTGTTACCTAAAGCAGAAGAACCCTGTATGGATTCTAATTAAGCAATTCATAACATGCTTAATCTCCTGTACACTTTTTAAGATTTTTTCCTTTTTAAACCTGTACATTTTTTATGTTAATGAACTAGAGTAAGGGTGTTAAATTCTGTAGTTCTTACAACTATATTCAGTTGCTGTACCTTTAAGGGAGAATTTTAATCCCATGTGCTTTAGTGATTTTGTTTGCTTGTTTTCTAACCTTGGGTCTTTTTTAACCAAGTAGTTCTGCAGTCTTGTTTCTGTAGCCCACCGGGTGAGGATGAGCTGCAGTAGCATTTGGTTCCTTTCCATGGCCACACTTTGGCATGGTTTTATTTATTGATTTGTTTGTTTGTCTATTAATTTATTTATTTAGAAACAGGGTCTTGCTGTGTAGCCCAGGCTGGCCTTGAACTCGGGATCCTCCTGCCTCAGTCTCCCAACTGCTAAGATTGCTGTTTGTGTGCCACAATGCCTGGCTAAAATTCATGTTTTTATGTACTCAGAATCAATAAGCTCTGTTTCTTCCAAACCCTTTGGTCTTTTTGTGATTTCTCCATCTAATAATCACTTCTACTGGAATGAGTACCAGTCTGCCAGTTTGCTGCTACGATTGTCACATAATGCCATAGCATCTACATAGCACTCATTTGAGTTTCACACTGCGTGAACTCCCTAGCATTGAGATGCAGGGGGACTGGAGGAAAATGCCTCAAGGGTGCTACTTTCATGAACATGCATTAGGCATTTCCGGAGCACAGAGCATTTACGTAATGACTGCTGAATGCACTGCACTGGCACCATTGGCTTGTGCAGGTGTTGTCTGTCATACAGTTTGCTGCCTCTGTACGCCTGTAGCAGGAATCAAAACATCTTGAAAACGATGACAAACATGGAGGCCCTGTTCAAACTGAGGGAAGCATGACTGTCTCTGGCTTTTATCTTGGCAGGTGTCACATGTCTCTGAACCTCAATTTGCTATCAGCAAAATGAGGCCAAAGCTGAGCAGCCTTTCCCATCACTGGAGGGGCAAACAGATAATGTGTACAAGTGGCATGTGTAAGTGTACAAGTAACACAAGTGTACAGGTGTACTTATAATGGGTGCAAGTGTATTGGGCGTGGCACCAGTATTCCTCATCTGTTTGGATTGGCATAAAACTCAAGCTGGCAGATGAAGGTGGGAATTTGTAGTTGACAAGACCAAAATGTCATCTGCTTGCTTTGAAATAATGTAAGCAGATGACTAAGGCCAGAACCATTGGTATTGTATGTGGAATGCTAATTTTGAGTAGAAGGACTGGGGATGTAGCTCAGGGGCAGAGTCCATGTCTGTCATCCTCAAGACCCTGGATTTGATCCCCAACACCTCAAAAGAAAAAAAATTTAAACAGTTGACTATGAATTGAGTCATCATAAAAAATGAGTAATAGAATTTGACTCCTAAGAATATCAAGTGATAGAATTATAGAACATAGATAAAAATAGCCATATGTTTAAAATGATTAAATATATAAAAATGAATCTAAATCATAAAAAAACAAAAGCAGGCCGATTTGAAGAATTATTACTGAATCTAAAAATTCAGTAGATTAGTTGAAGAACAGATTAGACACAACTGGAAAGATAACATACCAGAAGACAGAGCTAAAGAAGGGATGGAAACTGAGTGCCAGTCCTAGCTACTTGGGAGGCCAGGCCAGACACAAAAAACAAAACTAGTGAATCAAGTTTGAAATTATATAAAAATTAATTGTGTTACCAAACAATAATAAAAACAGCTAGAAAGAGGATGGTAGGGACCTGGGCAGATCTGGGATGGTCCCATCCAGATAGTGCTGCATCAGTCACTGTCACTGTTCACTGCTCAACATCCAGAGAGGGTTCACATTATCTGCAGGGGATAGCATGCACCTTGACTGAGGTCCCATCAAGAATGTATGCAAAGGTTATTTTGAGAAGAATTAATTTAGAAGGTAACACACATGCACAGGAAAGCAATGCAAGTCAACTCCCTGTATAGCTATCCTTATCTCAACTAGCAAAAACACTTGGCAATATTATTGCTTATACTCTGTCTTCAACAAAATTAGAGATAAGGGTAAAATAGTTTCTGCCTGGTAGCGAGGGAATGGGGGAGAGAGAAGGGGTGGAGGGGGAAAATGACCCAAACATGGTATGCACATATGAATAAAAGGAAAAAAAAAAGAATGTATGCAATAGGAGGAGTAGTTTCTGCAGAGCAAAACAAGATGCTATGGCAAGAAAAAAGGGGAGTGGATGTCAGGCAAGCATAAACATCAAGATGCCTGAAGCACTGTGCAAGTGTTAAGTATTCTCTATATACTTAAAATAATTTGATACAAAAGAGAATACTTTTAAGAATCAGTAATGGCTAATGTAATTGGGAGTCAACAGGAAAAACAAAACAATGGTTTAGAAGACAGCTGTGCCTGTCCGTTACTAAGATTTATCATCGGAATGGATTTAAATGGCCGTTAGTAATAGAATGGGAAATAAATTGTGGTGTATTCACACAACTGACTTCACAAAATTAGAATGGACAATTTCAACTACACACAGCAATGTGGATGAATCTCTTGATCAAAATATTGAGCTAAAGAAGGCAGACACAAAGTACCTACTGATGATTCCATTTATAGAAAGTACAAGGAGGCCCTGACTTCAAGCCCCAGCACTGCCCCCCAAAAAGAAAGTACAAAAACAGGCAAAACTAATCTTTGTTCTTAGAGTCAGTGATTGTAGCCATGAAGGCTGGTAAGTGGCAATGATAACACTGTGGTCTGCCAATTGGTACAACAATTGGTGTACCCTTTTATGTGTTAAAAGTATATGTGTAATTTTTTGAAAATTAATGGAGAGATCAAAATTGTAACTGTAAAGAAATTGGAAGGGAGACTGGTGGGAGGCAATGGTCAGATTTTTATAAGCATATTGTTTGTGTATGTTAAATTGGTGAGATTTCATTAAACTGTATGCCTATGATATAAGCATTTCAACATTACAAAGCACTTAAACTTTTAAAAAGTAACTTTTTAAAGCATGTATTAATACTTCCAAATAGATATATGTTGAGTAGTTTAAACCAAATCTTACAAATGTATATAATCACTCTAAATGATCCTTTTACATCCATGTATAATTCACCTTCAATAGCTTGTATAAGTAGGTCAAGGTTTCCTGTGAATTCTGTTGATTATGTGAAGATTTTATGATCATCTTTACATAAGAGCATTTTAAATTTTTGGACTTAGGGCATTTCTAAACTGATAATTTTGAATAATTTTCTATATTGTAGAATAGCTTTAAAATTATCTTATAATGAATCAAAATGTGTCTAGTGTTTTTTAATCCTTCAGCTTATTGCTGGTTCTTTTTTTGTTTTGTTTGTTTTGTTTTGTTTTGTGGGGGATGGGGGTGCTGGGAATCCAACCCAGGGCCTTTTGTGTGTCATTCAAGGACTCTACCACTGAGCCATACCTCTCAGCCTGCTTCTATTTTCTTATCTAGCACACAAAACCCCAAAGACCTATTTTTTCCCAAAAACATTGAGGTAAAAGAGGATTAAGGAAAAGGAAGAGCATACCTTTTTTTTAATTTGCAGTGCTGGGGTTTAAACTCAAGGCTTCATGCTTGCTAGGCAGATGCTCTACCATTTGAGCCACTCCAAAAGGAGCCCAGCTAACATGTCTCTTGAGTTATAATTTTAACTTAGTTTATCAGGATGCTTTGCTCCCACTTTGCATTCTTATTTTTGAATAATGCATGCAAGTACATGTGCTGATCCAAAGAAGTTTTACTGGAAAAGTAAGTGATTCTCTGGGAAGTGTACGATGCCAATCAACCTATAATTTGCCAGTGTGGTTTGTGGTATGCAAGTTGTCATTAAATTATAACTTATACAAACACATGGTAGTGGTACCTTGATGGCTTTGAAGGAAACTGATGTGTTCTTGATTTGTTTTGGGTAGATTCTGCCGTTCCTGTATTGCTACCAGCTTAAGGAACAATAAGTGGACCTGTCCATACTGCCGGGCATATCTTCCTTCGGAAGGAGTTCCAGCAACAGACGTAGCTAAAAGAATGAAATCAGAGTACCAGAATTGCACTGAGTGTGACACCCTGGTATGTACTCTACTGAGGCTAGTCATTACTAACTTTAGGTTCCCGAGGAAATGATCATTTCACCTACGCTTTTGACCCCAGCTCGCTCACCTTTTTGAAGTATTTTATCCCATCCTCTCCATTTCCATTTCTCCAGTTTCCTATGTGTAGACTGCAAACAGCCCCCTGAACTACTGTCACTTATTGCCTAATGTGTCAACCAAATGCATTTATTGACCACTTCAGTTTCTTCCCATCACTCCCATGGTCCCCTGTTCCGTGGCCTCTGTTCCTGGTCCTGTAATGCAACCCACAAATTAATGGCTTCATTATCAACTCTAGTGGTATATTCCAGTTATTCTGGACTTGACTATTTTTTTTTGACTATTTTTATTGACTATTTCTTCCTGGTGGTAGTTTTCCATCTTTGGTAATAACTATACTGGCCTGGGCAGATAGTGTGGGGGCTTTGGAGGCCACATAAAAAAATTCTAGATTTTATCCAAAATGTAATAGTAAGCCATAGACAGATTGCCAAGGTTAGATTAAATCTAAACCACAGCCCTGTTACAGTTTTCCTTAGCATCCTGGAATTTCTTTTCATGCCTCTTGGCCACTTCCTTGTGGATTATTTTTTTTTTTTGTCATTTACTACCACCCAATTTGAATTCCATGAAGATAAAAATGGTGTCTGTTTTATTGACATCTGTGAACCCAGCATTCAATCTTTTTTTCATTTTGAAACTTGGAACTTTCATTAAATATGCATTCGCCTGTTTGCTACCACCACCAAGAGCAGAAAAATAAAATTATTAAAACAGAGTTTTTGAAAAGCACACAAACCCAGTCTCCGGCAGTGTATGTACAGGGCTGCTCTCTGCCCCTCTGCCACAGAGAGGCTAGAGATTACCTGGGGGAGGCTACAAGCTGGGCACTTTTCCTCCAGCCACAGGCTTCTGAGGAATTAATCCTGACTGCAGTGGCAGAAGTCCCAGGTGCCAAATGTTCAGGTATCCCAACTCCTTAGCTTCTGTGAGTGACGTTTTCTGATTCTAGCTGCCTGACCCTCCACTTGGTCAGGGCTCTCATCTTCTTCCATTACGCTGTTTTCCCGCTGCTTTCTTACCCTAGAGACGTATGTGGGTCCCCTTCCATGTGTCAGCCCCAGTCCTGTACAGCGTGGTGCCTCCTCCACCACTGTGCTAAGCACTTTGGAAAGTGAGGGCTCAATGCAGTTTCAAATAAATAAGCTTCAATCGTCCATTCATGGCTTCCTTCCTGGTCTTTTGGTCAGATATTCTGATACCAAATGCTAATTCTCTCACCTGTCATAATTTGGGGCAAGTTATTAATCTAAGTTTTTATTTACTTTTTTGTAAGCTGAAGGAAGACTAATACCTTACAGGGCAGGCATGGAGGTCAATTATTTAAAAGTAGCTTTTAAGGCAGTGTCTGGAACATTATAAATGCTAAAAAAAAAAACCAAAAGCTTTTTGCATTCTTCATAATAGATTAATATTGCTTAATAAGTTTACTTGTCATTATGTAAATTTTAACATTATACAAAATCAAACTTGTGTTACTCCACAATTCACTATTTTATTTCACCGTTGGTGTCTGTCTGAAACAACAGCTTTCTTCCAGTTATCATGGGTACAAATCTCTTTCCTTTTCTCACTTCCTCCCCCTCCATGTCTGATTGCTGACAAAGATTTTGATTTCTCTTTGGGAAGCTTTTCTTGTCTGTCTCTTCCTTTCTATGCTCTTCCTCTTGCCAGGAATGTGCCCAATCTTTCTACCACAAGTTTAGACTCTACCTATTCATCATTATTCAGGCCAGCTTGCCACTCCATGCAGCCTGGCCTCAGCATTCCAACTTCCTATATCAAACAATTGCCTGTTTACCTATCATCACATCCTTTTTCTCTATTAGATTATAAGCACTGTTGGAACAGACATATGGCTTATGTTTCTTCTGCTGTCTGTTGCAGTGTCTGACATCATTTTGTGTCTAAACTATAAGTTTTTTAAATCATTTGTCAATACATAGTCCGTAGATTTCTGAGTTACCTGAGAAATGCTTCTTATCTTTGTTGAATAAGGAATATAAAGAAAAAAGATTTAAAAAACAAAAACAAACAAAAAAACCCACAGGTTTTTGGGCTCCCTAGGGAGCCCAAGTTTGCTTTCAACTCTCTCTCCTCCTGCCTCAGCCTCTGGAGTGCTGGGACTACAGGTGTGCACCACCACATCTGGTTTAGAAAGAAATTTTTTCTTAGCAGAAATACTAAGATAACCTTATTGTGTTGGATTAAAGGTTCTTAACACATCTGTCGAAGGCTGCCACCTAGATCAATCCTGGCGTTTATATGTTATAGATGAGCATTTATAAAGTAAGGGCTTTGTTTTTAATTTCCCACTAGCTTTTGTTTTTGCCTTTTGTTAAACAATGATCACTATTTCCTTAACGTGGTAGATTTTTTGTTTGAGGTTGAACTTCCGTAGCTTGGGTGAAATGAAGCAGAGTAGGTCAGCCACTATACCACAGCTGTAAAAAGCTTCCTCTAGCATGAGATCTTATCAGAGTCTCCAATGAAACAGTTAGTAGAATATGTGTTATGCTAGCAACAGATCCCTCATGGTTAGGCTCTCTGAATGTATATCTGGAGGAACAAGGGCTCTTTATTCTGCATTGACAAAAATGGACTGCGAGAGCTGTCTTTTATGTTTGCTGTTAATGGGGCCATTAAGCATACTGTGTATTGTGAATTCATGCAATATGACAGGGCGTGTGATAAAACCATGGTGTTTATGTGTTTGCCAAAAGTACAGGGTTTCCTTTAATTCACTATAGACACCTCTAAAATTCATTTAGTTTTTTAATCTCTTCTTTCTGTCTCTTTCTCCTTCATTTTTTTCTTCCTTCTTCCTCATTCTTTTTCTTCACCTGGTTTTCTTTTTCTTCCTTTCCTCTAAAACCTGTTTACATAACAGCATGCAAAAGCGATTTTTTATTACTATACATTTTTTCACTTTAAAAAGATACATGCTCTGTAGAAAAACCAAATTTAAAACCTACCATTTGGGTCTTGGGAAAAAATTAAAAATAGTGTTATTCTTGTTAATGCTTTTACTTTGTGATACTGTTTCATGAATGCATCCATTTAATCAGCTGGCCCAGGATGACCTTATTTGAAAGTTATAAAGCTGGAACACATAAAGCCTCTTTTCAGCAGGGAGTTTATTTTGAATTCGCTTTTATGTAGGTTTGCCTCAGTGAAATGCGGGCACACATAAGGACTTGTGAGAAGTACATCGATAAGTATGGACCACTGCAAGAACTTGGGGAGACAGCCACAAGGTGTGTTTTGATACAGTATAATACAATGCTAAATTTGATATGGCTAGAAAGAATTAATGGGCTGGAAAGCTTAACATTTTCATTATAGAACTATTTATGTAGTTATCTTTAGGCGCTTAACTCTAATATTTGATAATAAACTCTAATGATTTGGTAATAGCTATCCTTATCAAAGAATTTTCTTCTCTAGAACTTAAAAACTGCTTTGGGGATACGGGGGATACCCAACCACATTCAGGCATGGGGGTAACTTCCTCACACAAGTTTTTATTATTTCGGAAGATCCAAAAATAGGATGCAGAACTGTTAAATTTCTGCCAGGCTCTGCTTTTTGACTAAGATTCCTGAAGTAGATTGTAATTAAAGGATTTATTCATCTTTATGCTTTCATCACACTGCTCAATTCCCCACTCCTTCCCTGTCATTTTGCTTGCTTTTCTTTAGAGGATAGGCAGTGTAACTCAGTATATATTCTAGCAAAGGAAGAACAGTCCTGGGACAGGTGTCCTGATTCCTTTTCCTTTTGGCTGGGTAATGTTCTGTGGCACTAAGGGAAGGATAGAGGTGACCAGTAAGTATATTGGATGATATTTATCATGAACTAGTTTTTTTCGTTCAAAAAGAAGCAAAGCAATTTTCTCCTGATGGGAAGGGTAATTTAACTTTATCAGAGTAACTTCAAACTTTGTTGTTTGTTTTTATTAATAAGAAGTGTTAAACAAGAATGATGGAGAGGATGAATTCAAGTATGATATATTTGATATATTGTAGAACTTTTGTAAATGCCACAAGGTACCCCCAGCACAATAATAAAAAATAAATAAATTCACAATTAAAAAAAAAAGAAAGAAATGGGAATGGAGGTATACCCTAACCCCAGTCCCACAAAAAAAGAAAAAAGGAAGAAAGAAAGTAAGAAAGAAAGAAAAGAGAAAAGAAACAAAGTGATTTTTGTTTTCCTACCTAGGCTGACAACCCTGAAACCATTAAATTTACTTATGAACTTAGTGGCCCAATACTGGTATTCAGAAAGAGTACAATCTTTTATTTTCCTGAAGAAAAATGTTAGTTCTACCTGCTTTAAGAAAATATAGGCAGGAGGAGGTAGGAGGATCACTGTCCCAGGTAGCCCATGAAAAAGCAGAAGAACCTGTCTAAAAAGTACTTGGGGCATGACTCTAGTAGAGAGCACTTTGCCTAGCAAGCACAAAGCCCCGAATTCGACACCCCCGCACACTGCAAAAGAAAATCTACTGAAAATTGAGCTAAACTGGCTTAAGCTAAAAGACTAAGTCATCACGCCGTTCCTTTTGTTTTACTTGAAAATGCCTTGCAAACATACCTGTTATCATAGGATCATAGGATTCCTTTTATACTATGATGCTACAAATTTTAATTGAAGGTTTTATCTGTAAGCCAGATTGACCACAAGTACCAGTAGGAAGGAAGGAAAGGTAGCAACAACAAGGCATTGAGAAATGTGTGGGTTTGATTGCAAAGACTTGAGGAAAAATAAGTTTTAGTTCAAGTGGTAGAGTGCCTGCTTTGCAAGCTGAAAGCCTAGAGTCAAATCCCAGTACTACCCCACTCTCAAAAAAGAAGAAAATTAAAAAATATATGAAGGCTAATTCTAAGTCCTTATTTCTGGACTTGGGATGTGTCTAAAATGATAGAACACCTGCCTAGTGTGCTCAAGGTCCAGAGTTTGAACACTAGTACCAAAATTTTAAAAAATCCTAATTTCTACAGGGGCCACAGATATGGAAATGATAATATATTGGAGGGGTGAACTTTTTCAAGATGTACTGTAAATATGTATGGCGTTATCACAATGAAATCCCCTCATTATTAATGTATGATAAATCAAAAATTAAAAAAAATTGTTAAAAACCCTAATTTCTTCTGATTAGCATTACATAGTAAAGAATTTTTTTAAAAATAGATGGGACTAGGGGCATAGCTCAGTGGTGGAGGACTTGGCTATCATGTACAAAGCCCTGGGTTCCATCTTCATCACCACAAAGGGAGGAAAAAAAAAAAAAGAAGAAAAGAAAATGATAGTTGATTAATCAGTCATACAGGAGAGGTTAATATTTTCATTTGTGCTAGAAATCTTTGCTTTATAGAAGAATTTACTACATGATTTGAATCTTCAAAGTTGTTTTACAAGAAGTTTGTCCAAGCCAGGCACTCGTAGCTCACGCCTGTAATCCTAGCTACTCAGGAAGCAGAGATCAAGAGGATCGCAGTTTGAAACCAGTCCAAGAAAATAGTTGGCAAGACCTATTTTGAAAAAAAAATCCATCACAATAAAGGGCTGGTGGGGTGGCTCAAGGTGTAGGCCCTGAGTTCAAACCCCAGTACCACCAAAAAAAAAAAAAAAGTTTGTCCAGTGTACAAGTTGTAGGGAACAGGAATTTACATCTATAGAGGAACATGAGCAAAATCTTTCAAGTCTACATATTATTCCTTAGAATTTAATGTGATACTTATCATGGATCATACAAAATCTAAATTTTTCTTTCTTCTTTTTTTTATTTTCTGGTTTGAATTCAGGGCTTCACACTTGTTAGGCAGGTACTGTACTGCTGAGCCACACTCCCAAGCTCTTTTTGGTCTGGTTATTTTGGAGATAGGGTCTCGCTTTTTATCTGGGCTGGCCTGGATCTCTGTCCTCCTACTTTACGCTTCTGCCGTAGCTAAGATGACAGTGCCATCACATCCTGCTTTTTACCATTTAGATGGATTCTTGGGAACTTTTTTGCCTAGGCTTACTTGGAACCCTGATTCTCAGCCTTTCTCATAGCTGGGATAGCAGATATGCAACACCGAATCCAGAAATTGGTTGAGATAAGATCTCACAAATTTTTTGCCTGGCTTGGCCTAGAACAGTGATACTCTTGAACTTAGCTTCCCTAGTAGCTAGGGTTACAGATGTGAGCCACCAGCACCCAGCTCACAATTTAAAATTTTCTAGTAGCCACTTTTAAAAAAGTAGGAAGAAAACCTAATACAGCCAAAATATTGCCATTTGAGCATGTAATTAATAGAAAAATTATTGAGATAGTTCACATTCTTTTTTTGCATTAAACCAACATTCAGTGTATTGGCTGGGGATGTAGCAGAGTGACAGAGCACTTTACTTAGCGTGTGCCAGGTCCTGGGTTCCATCCCCAGAGCCTCCAAAAAACACCCCAGATTTAATTGTGACTAGCCATTTCAGGTATTTGACAGACATGTAAGATAGCACAAGTGTAAAGGCCAGTTTCTATGAAGTGTACATAAGAGTCTGACAAGGTAGCGGCGAGTCAGTTTTCATCCTCTACTGGAAAGTAGGAGTGTGAGTTGAAAACACAACATGTTCATAGAGCTGGAGAACAAATAACACCCAAGTCAGATATCATCTGACTTAGGAAAAGGAGGAAAAAAAGCTAACGCAGGGTACTGTGATTCTCATAGTCTCAGTTAATAGGTGCTCAGGTTGCCCTTTACTTCCAAACGAAATAAGATACTCCAAATTTACTATAGCTCTTTCTCTGCCCTATCCCTATGAGGGTACACATTGACATTTCTTGTGAGAAAACTGTAGTCACCAGCACCATCCTCAGGATAGGATAAATGTACCAAAGCAGAGGAAGAATCAGTGAGAAACTAAACGCAGGTGTGGTGGCACATGCCTGAATTCCCAGCACCCAGGATGCTGAGGCAGGAGGATTACGAGTTCAAGGCCAGCCTGGGCTACATAGCAAGGCCCTGTCTCAAAAAAAAAAAAGAAACTAGTAATCTCCAGTTAAGTGAATGATTTTAATGTTTATAATTCTGTGCAATTTCCAGGTGTGTGTGTCCATTTTGTCAGAAGGAATTGGATGAAGACAGTTTTCTGGATCATTGTCTTACTCATCACAGATCAGAAAGAAGATCTGTGGTAAGGATTTTTGTTATCATGCACATACACAAGCAATGTCTGAATTTAAGATATATTAGAAAATCCATTTATGTGCGTGTGTGTGTGTGTGTTTGTGTGTGTGTCAGAGGATGAAGCCCAGGGCCTCACAATAGGCTAAGCAAGAACTCAACCTTCACCCCCAGACCTAGAATTTTACACTCAGCCATTCTAACTTTATCTGAACTATTCTAACACATGGATCCCCTGTAGGGAAAAATCTACCAATAAACAACACTGAATCCCTTGAAGAAAATATTTACTCTCTCCAGAAATAGTAAACTTGCTCATTTTGAACCAAAATACTCTCATCCTAAACAGAAGTTTTATAGTATCTTGCAAAAGCTAGAGCATAGTTAATTTTGTTGACTTAAGAAAAAATGATTCACATACTTGTAATTCCAGCACTTGGGAGACTGCAGCAACAGGATTTGAGTTCAAGGCTATCCTGAGCTACATGGCAAGGCTTTGTCTCAAAAAACAAAATTTTAAAAAAATGTGATTAATTTTAAGAAACTTAAGCAGGGTGTGGTGGCCCATGACTGTAATCCCAGCACTTGGGAGGCTGAGGCAGTAGGCTCTTGAGTTCCAGGCCAGCCAGGACTACATAGTGAGACCCTGTCTCAAAAGCAAGTACTGGAGGTGTGGCTCAAGCAGTTGAGTGCCTGCTTTACAAGTGCAAAGCCCCAATTTCAAACCCAAGTCTCACAAAAAAAAAAAAACAAAAAAACCTCCAAAAATCCAAAAAACAAAAACAAGCAAATAAAAAGAAACTATCTATTCTGTTTTTCTTTCTGAAAGGCATTATTCATTTATTTATTTACATACAGTGCTGGAGATCAAACCCGGGCCTCACACATGTTAGGCAATTGTTAGACCACTGAGCTGAATATCCAGCCCTAAGACTTTTCTATATCACATAAGAATTTTTTCTGTGACTTTCCCAAGGATTCCCATTCTCTTCAACATTCTGGAAAAGGAGATTAAGTGGATCATGTGGGAAGAATGAAGGGGATGGTAGGAGTGATCTAATTAACATACAATATAAGCCTATTTGGAATTGTCACAGTGAATCCCTTCCCCATAACAAATATGTCCTAATTTTTTTTTTTTTAAAAAGACTCATCACAGAAGAGAATGATGAGGGCTGGAGTGGGAATAAAAAAAGAATGAAGAGAACAGACTTTGAGTAATAATTTCTTGTGAATCTAGACTGTTTCAAAGTTGTCCTACAAAGCTCAGAGAAGACTCCTCATAGGCCAGGTGTAGGCTCACTATTATATTCCAAGCTACTCAGGAGGTAGAGATCAGATGGATCAAGATTTAAGGCTAGTTTGAGCAAAAAGTTAGTGAGACCCCCCATCTCAACAAACAAACCAGGTAGTATCAGATATGCAGGAGGCATAGGTAGGCAGATCATGGTCCCAGGCCTGTCTATGGCAAAAAACATGAGACACTATGTAAAATAACCTGAAGCAAAAAAGGGCTGGAGGCATGGTCAAGTGGCAGAGCACCTGCCTCGCAAGCAGGAGGCCCTGAGTTCAAACGCCAGTACGGGGTGGTGGTGGGGAGACAGAGAGAGATGATATAATGTGATAACTGGATTCTATTCTGTCATCCCTTCCCCCGTACCTCTCTCTGCAGTGCTGAGAATCTAACCCAGGCCCAAGTGCTATACTCTGACCTATATCCCAGTTCCCAAATTTGTATTTCTAGCAAGTTCTCAGGAGATGCTAATGCCACAGGTCTGGGGACCTGACTTTGAGAAACATGGCTTTGTAAAATGTTGAAGAAAGGTCAAACTAGACATATGACTATTATTTATCTGATTCTGTGTTGACTTATATTAAATATTCTACATTCTAGAGAGCTGGGAAATAAATACCCTGTGAAAAGAATCTTCTCATCTGAATAGTAACATGTTTTCACCCATATCATCTGTGGTTTTGCCTTAATCCCTTCAGTGAATCCTCTAGATCTGTCTCTTTTTTGTAGCAAGTAAGCTCCTTTGATCTCAGTTTGGTCATCTATAAAACAAAGGTATAGAAAATCAACTCCATGCCAGGCGCTGATGGCTCTTGCCTGTAATCCTAGTTACTCAGGAGGTAGAGATCAGGAGGATCACAGTTTGAAGCCAGCCCAAGCAAATAGTTTGAGAGACCCTATCTCAAAAAAACCTGACTTCAAACCCCAGTAATGAAAAAAAAGAAAATCAGCTCCATGCAGTTGGTGGTCTTTGGCATTATAGTTTCATGAAAAGAGAGAATAAATGAAGATTCATTACATGGAAAGAGACTATTTGGAACCAACAGGCTCAAGACCAGAAAATATAATTCCCAGGGCTAAGGAAGGTCAACTGAAGGCCTCAGTAGGATAGGGTGAGGCTCTTCTCTAAACTCCTCCCTCCTAAGTCTTGTCAGACTGGTGTCCTGGTGAGTGGTCTATGAGCTCATCTACCAAAGACCTGCCCCCCAGGTGGCACTCGAACAGGGTAATGGTATCACTGTACTTATGAAAGAGAAGTTATCCTAGAACTAGTTCTCCATTATCTGAAGGGTGCTAGTACCTTCTAATACGTGGGCTGTTACACACTCATTTCATTCACCATTCAAAAATGTGCATATTAAGATGAGGCCAGGCTGGGTGCTGATGGTTCACACCTGGGATCCTAGCTTCTTAAGAGGCAGAGATTAGGAGGGTCAAGGTTCAAAACCAGCCCTGGCAAATAATTTGAAAGACCAATTTTGGAAATACCCAACACAAAAAAGTGTTAGTGGAATGGGTGAAGCTGTGGAGTACCTGCCTAGCAAGTATGAGGCCCTGAATTCAAACCCCAGTACTGCCAAAAACAATGAGGCCAACCTCTTTTTTAAAATTTATTTATTTTTTATTTTTTCTTTTACTCATACGTGCATACAATGTTTGGGTCATTTCTCCCCCCTTCCCCCCACCCCCTCCCTTACCTACCCTGCTCCCTCCCTCTCCCCCTCTACCCCCTCGCTACCAGGCAGAAACTATTTTGCCCTTATCTCTAATTTTGTTGAAGAGGCCAACCTCCTTTGAATGTACACTGTGCAGTTATTGATCCTAATGCAAGTAGCATGGCCTGGGAGCGATGAGGAGAGACAAATAATAAAGACTGAGCTGATGGCAGGAAACTGCCCACATTAGGGAGTGTCATGAGCACTCATATAGCTTAGGTGGTAAGCAGTCTGGCTCTCACCTACCATTTCTTTCCCCTTCCTATCATTACTCTCTTCTCCCTCAGGTCAAATCTTCCACTTAAGGAAACCAAACAAGTTTTTGAGTAGTTTAGACTTTAGTCCATTGTTCTACAGTCTGTTTTTGATAAAGGTCTCCTTAGTTATACAAGAAAACCACCATAAAACTCCACTGGTCTCCTCTGGTTCCCTATTAAAGTTGGAGTATAAATAAAAACTCCTTTGCTTATAATCCAGGCTTTCATTGTCTATTCTCCACTAAACTTTCTTTTCAGTACTGGGGATTGAACTCAGGATCTTGCACTTGCTAGGCTAGTGCTCTCTTACTTAAGCTGTAAGCCCCCTCCACTAAATTCTAATGAGCTCCTTCATAGTAGGGACCTGAGCTAGTCATCACTATGCATTTGGCTTTTGGCATGGGGCTTATAGAATCTGATCTGGAACTTACATCTAAATAAAATAAAGCTAATATTTTCTCTCTGAAACTGAGTTCATCAACAAAATAAGGGGAATAACACATCCACTGAGATTTAAATGGTGATTTAAAGCAAGCCATGGTAGCCAGGCAAGGTTTCACATGCCTTTAATCCTAGCATTTAGGAAGCTGAGGCAGGAGGATTGTGAGTTTGAAGCTAGCCAGGCCTACAAAGTGAGTTCAAGGCCAGCATGTGTTATAAAGAGAGATCCTGCCTCAAAAAATAAAACAAAAACACATGGGGGAGATGTCACTATATACTTATGAAATGGCTAAAATAAACCAATATTAACAGAAGCAAATGCTACAGAGAATAAGGAAAAACTAAAGAATCCACACCCTGCTGGTGGCAATGTAAAATTGTACTACTGCCCTGGAGAGCAGTCTGACAATTTTTCACAGTACAGACACACACTTACCAGGTGACCAAGCCACAAAAACTCCTGGGAATTTTTCCAAGAGTAATGAGAATTTATGTTTATGCAAACATCTGTACACAAATACTCATTTCAGATTTATTTGTTTTATTTGTAACAACTCCAAATTGGAAACACGCCAAATGGCCTTAAAAAAGTAAATGCTTAAACAAACAGTGGGCCATACCATGCAGTACTCCTATGCAATAGAAAGGAACAACTTTGATAGATTTCAAGGTCATTGTGCTCAGTGCAAAAAGCAATCTCAAAGGGTTAAATACTGTCGAATTCTATTCACATGACATTCCTGACATGATGGAATTACAGAGGTAGAGGATCGGTCAATGAGTGTCAGGGGTTAAGGTAGGGAGGAGGAAGTAACAGGGTGCACAATGGAGTTCTTTCGTAGTGGCAGAACTGTTCTTTGTGTTCATGGTGTGTGTCGGTGGTTGTACAAGTCTTACTTCCACATAGAGGTGCGTGCACCCCCGAGAATGAGTATAAAAACTGGTGAAATGTAGGGTCTGTACCCTAGTTGTGTCAGGTGTTACCATTTGGGAAAGCTGGATGTAAAGATGTGGGACCTCCCTGCATTATGTTTGTAATTTCTTATGAGTTTATAATTCTCTCAAAATGTTTTTAAAGGACCCTTAATGGCTATTAAATTAGGAAAATGTGTGTCTATATTAATAGCTATTGCTGATATGTTGCAACCTATATTGCTAGTGGCAATAAAAAACAGTAGTGTCATCTGAAAGCTAGTGGCTCATGCCTGTAATCCTAGCTACTCAGGAGGCAGAGATCAGGAGGATTGAGGTTCAAAGCCTGCTCAAGCAAGTAGTTCACAAAACTCTATCTCAAAGACACCCAATACAAAAAAGAGCTGACAGAGTGGATCCAGTGGTGGAGTGCCTGCCTAGCAAATGTGAGGCCCTGAGTTCAAAACCCCAGGACTGCCAAAAAAAAAAAAACTATAGATGCATAAATAATATGTGCCGTAAGCATTTGTCACTTTTATAGTAAGACTCTCCACTTCTCACCATTTGTCCTGAGAAAATAATTCTCCAAATGGTAACACTAGAGAAAATGTCATTTGCAAAAACACAATATCCACATACAAAAAGTCCTATATATTTCACAAGGGGGGCAACCAAGATAGTAAGTTATAGTACATCTATCAACTGTAGTATTTAAATTAAAAGTTGATAAATATTAGAGAAATAGTATGTGTATAAATGGACAAGAAATGTACATGAAAAATAAATTAGTTTTGCAACACAGTGGAGATAAGGCCAATGGATTCATAAGGTTAAAGTTCACGTTGAATGGTTACTTTTTTTTTTTTTATTCTGTCACTAATAACAATTTAGAACTAAGTTTTGAACTCTTGGTCTTGTTTCTTTCCAGTTCTGTCCGCTTTGCCGTTTAATACCTGATGAGAACCCAAGCAGTTTCAGTGGCGGTCTGATAAGACATCTGCAAGTTAGTCATACTTTGTTTTATGACGATTTCATAGTGAGTATATTTTCTTACTTTTTACATGATGTTTCTTTGCTGTCTGTGTTAAGCCTACCTTTTTCTCCCTTTATAATCCAGATGAATAAAATTATAGGGAGAAATGTGTGTCTATAGCTAAAGTGTTAAGCATTGGCCTTAAATAGAAAGTCATAAACATAAAGTATTCTATAAATTTGACTACTAATATTAAAGCAGTTTTCTTTGAGTTGGGTATGTAGGCACAGTGCTGTAATCCCTGCACTCAGGAGGCTGAAGTAAGAAGATTGGAGGTTTGAGGCCAGTCTGGGCCTCAAATGAGATCCTGTCTCCAAAAACAGAGCTAGTTTTTGCATTGAACAAAATTACTTTCTTTTTGATTTAGATAATCAGCCATTGTAAAAAAAAAAGCCAAAAAGATTTAGCTTTTAAGTTATTTTATTTTTTAGCCCTTCCTTTTACACATTTTTAATTTTTATTACAGTGTATGTTTATATAGCTGAGATGTAATCAAATCAGTAATGAAACTGCTCAGAGTTCTGCATCCGGTTGCTTTTATAGATCATTGAATGTCTAATAGCAGGTTTGATATTATCAGGCTAGTAAGACTGGCATTCTCATTTTTTATTTAAAATCTATAAGTCGTAAGACTCACATTTATTTAAAAGTTTAAGTTTGGTTGGACATGTCTGTGATTTCAGTCTCAGGAAGATGAAGCAGGAAGATGAGTTCCAGGTCGGCCTGGGCTAAATACCAAGACAAAAAGTCACTTTTAGCTGTGTTCAGAAATCATACTTTATTGTTCCTTTTATCTAAATACATGAAATAGAAATGGCTAAATTTGAATTTGTATATAATTTTCACATACTTTTGACTGTTTTCTTCTTATACAATTCCAAGATAAGCTTTATTCATTGTTGAAGATTGTCATGTGGACAAAGGAGCTTGGGTTCTGACTTAGGTTGAAGTAATAGCTCCGTCACAGCTGTGCAACTCTGGGGAAGGCACTTAACCTCTGCACTTCAGTTTGTTCATTTGTTAAGTGAGGCGAGTGAAAGCTCCTCTTCCCAAAAGCTCTTATGAGGATGAAATAAGTGAATGCATGCAAAGTAATTTATCTGCACAGTTCAGGCACTGATAGTGTAGTCAAGTTGGACATGAGGAGGGAGTAAATTGGGCTTATTAGGATCCCTTGAAGAGCTGAGCAAGATATACAGCAGAAGCTGCATATTCTCTTTACTCTCTAGTGGTGTCTTCCTGAAAGGCACACAAGGCCTCAGCAGAGCCTGGGTCTGGTCCATTTGTTCTCAGCAACACAATAGGGTTCCTATTACTGGGTTAATAATCTTAGCTGGGTTCATCCCATGCCTGTCCATGCCACCCTGTTCAGTGTATCCTCACATTCTTTCAGACAGACTATGAACCTTGGCTGATCAGGATGAACCCAAGTAAAATTATAGTCTTGGCTATGAAAATGAGATTGAGGTAGTGTTTTTCTATTCTGTTTTTTTTTTTATTTGTTTGTTTTTTCAAGATCCCATGTACCAAGGTAGGCAGTTTTTACCTTATCTCATTCCTTACAGCACTTTACGAGGTGAATACTCTATTTTTATCCTTGTTGAGCTGTGAACTATCTAAAGCTCAAAGGCTAATAACTAAATTGCTTAAGAACAAGCCAGTGTTGAGTCCAAACATTGTGCTTCGCTTGGCTTTATGGCTTTCCATTGGAGTTTTTCTGTTTGTTTCCATTTTAGAATGGACTTCCAATAGCGATTTTACCTTTGTTTATTGTGGAAGAGAAGAGGGATTGCAGATGATAGGGCTCTTAAGACTTGCTTTACTTACAGAATGTGCTAATGTTAAGTTTTAAATTCCATTTTGACACATAAAGAGGCAAGAAGACAGTTTTATTTATAACAGCTTCCCCACAAATATTTAATATGCTGTGGCATTGTGTGAATCCTAGGAGGTTTTGTTTTGTGGTGTGAGGGATCAACACCTCGGCCTTGTAGGTACTTGCTCTACCACTGAGCTATATCCCCATCCCCCTAGGGGGATGTCTTAACTTTTCTTTTTGTATTTATGTAAAATATAGATAGCATTCTGACCAGGATTTATAATATTGATTTAAATCTAGTAATTAAGGCTGGGCGCCAGTGGCTCATGTCTTTAATTCTAGCTACTTAGGAGGCACAGATCAGGAAGATCGCAGTTTGAAGCCAGCCCAGGCAAATAGTTCCTGAAACCCTATCTCGAAAAACCCATCACGAAAAAGGGCTGGTGGAGTAGCTCAAGATGAAGGCCCTGAGTTCAAGCCCCGGTACAAAAAAAAAAAAACAAAAGCCCTACTAATTAGCTCAAGATAAAAACCTTAAATTTCAAGTCAAGACTTTGTTCCTGTGGAGGTAATGTGGGGGGAGGCAGACACTGGGGTTTGAACAAGCTTTCTCAAAGCATGTGCTCTACTACTTGAGCCACACCTCCAGTCCATTTTGGTTTGGTTGTTTTGGAGAGGGGCGTCTCAAGAACTATTTGCCCAGGCTGCCTCTCCCAATCTCAGCTTCTGAAGTAGCTGGAATTTAGGTCTGAGCTACCAGAGCCCTGCTAAGACTTGGTTCTTATGACAGTAACTAAGTAATTGCTATGTCAGTAAAGTCAGGCTTGTGGAACCTTGGACAAGTCAACTAACTCAAGACTTTGCTATCCTCTAAAATGAAGGTGTTGTATTGACCCTCATTGTCCAATTTCTGAAGCAGTATTGATTCTGTGTGTTTCTAATAATTTTTCTTTATTGTAGGATTTTGATATTATTGAGGAAGCTCTTATCCGAAGAGTCTTAGACGGGTCACTTCTTGAATATGTGAATCAATCCAACACCACATAATTTTACTAATAGGAAGGGAAAGAGGACCATTCAATTGCACATTTAAGATGCTGCTTGACCAATTGGAGGGAAATTGTTAATGTTTGATGGGGAACAATGTACAACCCACTTATATGTTTGTTCATGCTTATTGTTATATTACATTTAAAAACTGCTTTAATTTTGATGGTTTAGATCTGTTCTACATGCTTGAGTTTCTTAGACATTGAACAAGAAGAAATAGTCTCCATCTGTCATTGCTTTATGGAAGAAACAGAGGCTGAGTATATAGCTGGAGGACCTCCATTTGCAAATTGGATGACCCTGTGTGATGCTATATATTCGTAACTTACCATCATGGTTAGGAAGGTAACTGGTCTTTGTTCTATGTAAAAAGAAGGGGAGTGAAACAGAGTGTAGACATTCAAGCAAATATGAAATCAGTTCCAATGTCCATGTTCTTGGGTCTAGTATGATAGCGTGGGTAGTCTTGTTAGGAGTAGGAAAAGAAAATTTTTAAGTCAACAAAGTCCATTTTAACCAAACTGTATCTCATAATGGTGTAGCAGAATTTTGTGTTAGAAATGTATACTTAATTCTTTGACTTTTTATAAGTGTGCACACCTAAGAATTTATTATATTTTAAAAATATTTGTAGTTTATTATTTAGAAATATTTCTATAATATAAGTAATTTCTTTAGAACAATCTGTTGAAATATCCAGTGGAAGTACTCACATCCATAAATTTTAGTGAAAAACCTAAGGGCTTTGTTTTTAATTTTAACCTTTTAAAAATTACAAAATAAAACATAAATAATGAAGCAAACACAAAATTTATAATGCAGTGTATTATTTTAAGAAACATTCTTTTGGAATTCTGCCAGACATCCCATTGTCCTCTTTATCCTGCCACAGAAGTAACCACTGCACTGAATTCATTTATTTGTCACCATATATTTGCCCATTAAAAATCTTATTCATTGAAAATTGCTTTTATTAGATATATATTTTATGGGGGCTAGAGGCATAGCTCAGTAGTCGAACACTTGCCTAGCATGCACAAGGCTCTGGGTTCAATCCCTAGCATCACAAAACAAACAAACAAAAAAACCTAAGATATATATTTTTTACATATCTTTTAATATTTTTTTTTCGATGCTGGAGATTGCAGCAGAGCCTTGCTACATCCCCAGCCCTTTATATCTCTTTTTAATCTATAGGTATCTCCTCCTTCTTCCTTTCCCTTAAAATTTACCTAATGGTGAACCTGAATTTAGGACCTTTCTAGTTTCTCCCAATCTGTATTTTACTGGTTGAATACCCATGGCACAATGCAGTATGTTCCTCAGAATATAGGCATGTGGGATGAGAGATATGAGCAGACCCAGGCTCGATTGGGGAAAGTATGGGTCACGGTGTGGCTGGCTTTGTCTTTTTTTGATGCTAGCTGAAATTGGTACTCAGTGCCTGGATCCACTAATTGGGTTGAGCATATGCTCTCATTTCTGTTTCATTTATTAGTTACAACATTTTTATAAGGAGGTGCTTCCCCATATCTCCTACTTGGTTAACCTGTAATACAGCTCATATAAGACAATGAAAATACGTACTTGATTTTTTTCCCCTTTGTCATCTGGTTCGAGATTATAGATTTGCTTCCTGTTATCTTCTAGAGATCACTTTTTACAAACACATCATGAGCTCATGTATCTAAATATGTTTGATGGGCTTCAATCCATACAAGTATTACCTTATTGAAACTCACATTGTCCCATCTTTGGCCATTGAAAGCTTCAAGTTGACTCTGAGTCTTTCTGAAACGTTAATAGATAGATTCCTAGCTATCTCATATAATGAGATCCCCCGCCAAACTTGTACATTTCTTGCCCAGATATGAAATCAGCCATTTTTCTAGGAAACCTAGTTTCTGTCTTAAATTGTAGTTCAAAACCATAATCCAGGCTCCAAGGGTACTCATTGCTACTATGTTGGTCATTGTTTCAAGGAAAGAACTAGGAACTAGCTATGTTTTTAAAGATAAAATACTTCATGAGTTTCTTTTGATACTTTCAGATAAACTAGGTATTATAGCATTTTTACCTAACTTCTATTACAAATTTATTTCTGGACTTAAAATCTTGGTTTTCAAGGACATGGGCATGATAGAGCTAGAATACCAAAATTGCTTTCCTTTATTTACCTTACACATGCAATGGTACCAGAATAACATCATTCAATCACAACCAAGTTGATAGCCAAAGCAAAATTTTTTTCATTTGCTCTCCCTATTTTTAAAAATAATTTTATTATGTTAACCTTTTCAGAACATTGGTATAACATATTCTGCTCTCTTCCTTTTATTCTCCATTTAGTCTTCTTCAACAATGCATTTAACGTTTGCCACTGGTTTTTATTTGATGGCACTGACTGTTTTTCTTTAAAAATACATTCAGGATAGAGATTAGTATTTACATTTTGAAAGAAAGGAAAGAAAAATAAGCACTAGGGATATCAAACTCCTGAGGGTGAATGTTATTTGACTTAGCTTCTTAATTGTAATCATTTATAAAGTTCTTTGTTCCTTACCTATAAATACAATCATAATTACCTTGCCCCAAATTTTCTGTAATAAATTATCCATGATGTTATAAAAGTTATGTTGGTATTTTCCCATCCAGGACAGGATAATTGAGAAAAAATAACCTGGATGAAATCTAGAAGGCCTCCTGTCCTCCCTTTTATTTGTTTATTTGGTGGCACTGGGGATCAAACTAGGACCTTCTTGTGTGTGTTAGACATATACTCTACCACTGAGCTGCACCCCTAGTCCAGCCATGTCCTCCACTTTAGATATTGATTTCAAAGTTGTTTTTCACACCTGCTAACAAGTAGCAACAGATTTTTAGTTTCACAACCTGTCTCCAATATGGGTGGATCATACAATACAGCAAAACCTGTTGGGCAACAAGAGCAAAAGGAGAGGAATTTTTTTTAGAAGTAATCAGACTGAAAATAGGACACATTTCTGAGCATTAGTGCCTACTATCCAGACAATAAACCTTAGTTAATTTAGAGCAATAGAAATGATATCTTTATATCTGTAAAACTTGAAAAAAAATTAAAACTTTAAAAACTGTGTTCTAAGTACAGCTTTAAATCATCTACCACTGTTAACACCAGTGCAGCAGTTCTGCGTCCTGTCCCTGAGTTTGTCTTATGATGATTTTGCCACCTACAGGACAAATCAGGTGCTGGCTGCCTGAAATGCTTTGTTTTCTGAATTCTTTTCAGTTCTATGATTGTTTCACTGTGCCTTTAGCCTTTTATAAAAAGGAGTTTATAATTTGTTTCCTTAAAAAATAAAAACCAATATTTGAAGCTTTTGACTACCCACAAAATGTTTCACTCACTTTATGGTGCCTCAGGATACAACTTTATGAAGGCTTTATATAAGGAAAAGAACCAATTCATATGTTATTCTAAAGCTAAAATCTCCTAACCCTATAAAAAGCTATGGAGATTTCTGTTTCATGTATTTTTTCACCCGAGTTTCCAAAGTGTTGATAGAAAACTGGATTGATTGCTAATCTGTGGTAATGACAGGGTTCCAAGTCAGGTCTCCTGAGAGACCCTGTCTCCAATGATGTTGCTTCATTACTGTTCCTGGGTGCTAAGTGTCTTCGTTCCAAAGTGAGCTTACTCCAGTTCTTAAATATTTATCATATCGTAATGTGCATCCTCAGACATTGAAAGTATTTTAAAAAGTACTAAGAGATTCATTCTTTTATTATTCAACTGTATAAAGATCTGTATACTGCTCAGAATTTAAATGTACAATTCTTTTTCTTTTGAAAATTGTATTATGAGAAATAAAGAATGGCAGGACCATTGCTTTCATTAAAATATTTACTGTGTCTATTCTTTTGGGGGGCAAGGGATTACTGGAGTTTGAACTCAGGGGGGCTAGGCAGGTACTCTAGAACTTGAGCCACACCTCCAATCCTCTATTCTTAAATATTAGTCTTGATCATTTTTTAACGTAAACCTAATATGCTCTTTATTCATTTTCTTTTTTTGCAGTGCTGGGGATTGAACCCAAGGCTTCACATAGGCTATGCAAGTGCCCTATCACTGAATGCTTTTAAACTGTACTCATTCAGCAATATCTATCACAAAAATATACATTCATTTTAGCCACAAGTTCTTGACTGGAGATAATTTTGTGTCCCAGCAGAATTGTCAATGTATAGAGACATGTTTGGTTCTCATCACTGGGGTGATTGTGCCATTCTGCTCTGGACAGAAGGTGGGTATGTCCACAAGATAGTACCTCACAATAAAGAATTAACCTGCCCAAATATTGATGATGCCGAGGTGTGGAAACCCTGATATGGCCAATGGAGCGTTGTAGTTACTATAGTTTCTGCTGGCAAAGTGCTTCATTGATCTTTAAAAGGTATGATGCAGGGGTTGGGAATTTAGCTCAGTGGTAGAGTGCTTGCTTTGCATGTGTGAGGCCTTGGGTTCTATCCCCAGCATCACAAATAATAATAAGCAAATAAAGGTAGAATGCAAATACTGTATCCCTGCTAAATCCACACTAAGTTTTGGGTGTTTACAGCTGTCATGTTTACCTATGTGTCAGGAGTATATGAAACCTTTTTAGAGCCTAGTGTGGTAGTACATGCCAGTAATCCCAGCACTGGGGAGACTCAGGCAAGAGGATCATGTACTCGAAGCCTGCTTGGGCTACGTGGCCAGATGGTGTCTCATAAAACAAAGCAAACTGGCACAGTGGCTCCAGTGGTAGAGCATCTGTCTAACAAGTGTGAGGTCCTGAGTTCAAACCCCAGCACTGCCAAAAAAAAAAAAAAGTCCAATAAAACAAAACAAACAAAAAGTCTTTTAGAGTTTTTTTGAGAAGTACAAGCCAGAACAGATGTGTCAGTGCCATAACTGCTGATAACTCCATTTGCTAAGTGACATTCTAAAAGACAAGGACGTAGCTTTTATCAATTAGGTTGTCTTTATTGGAATAAGTAAGACAAAATATTACAGAGGGACACCTATGTCTGAGATCCTTGGAGCTAAGAAATAGTTATATTTTTGCATTATTATTATTATTGGAAAATCATCTGGTACTTGAATCCTGCAGATTTCAGAGATCACACATGGGTTTTAAAGCCCCAAAGTTTCCATCTGTAAAGCCCAGTGAAGGTGAATCAGGGGGAGAAGTATTGGTGAGCAGAAGTGAAATTATATCCATTACAAACAACCCCAATCCTAGCACCTACCCCAAATCTACTACTGTGGCTTCAGGCTATTCACTCTTTAGGGCACTTCTCCAGCTTCAGAGTTCTGGGGTGATTTTATCTCATGGTATTTGCACATCACCATGTGCTTGCTTTGTCACCCCTCACCACAGCACACTGAAGAGTTGGTTCTACATACCATTTTTAGTCATGGTTCATTTCCCAAAGCAAGTCACATGGCCATATGTAATGTTAAGGTATTATGTCTCCATGTAACCAAGGTATTGGATCAAGTGCAGTGTTCTCATGTAGAGAGAACCAGATGCTGGAATATAATAATGCCCGCCATGAAGATTATCAAGCCAGATAGAGTTAAAGGGGAAGGTATTAAAAATGTATTTGGAAACTCGTGTGTGTGTGTGTGTGTGTGTGTGTGTGTGTGTGTGAAATGTCAAAAGGAGACTAGCTTTTTAGAATCATGAAGTGATGCTGAATTTTGTTATGGTAATTTTTGGTTAAGTTTACTCAAAGTTACATTTTGAAACTAAAGACCTGTCAGTTTCTCAGACATAAGACAATTTCTTATTTTGAATCATTTATTCATATTAATGAGAAATGCCAAGGCTGGGGATGTCGTTCAGTGTTAAAAGGTTTCCTAGCATGTATGAGGCTTAAGTTCAATCTCCTCCACTACAAAGGTATGAAAATGCATAATATCCAGCCTGGTGCTGGTGACTCATGACTATAATCTTAGCTACTTGGGAAAGAGAGGTCAGGAGAATTGAGATTCCAAGCCAGCCCAAGGCAAATTATTCTCAAAACCCTATCTCAAAAATACTCAGCACAAAAATGTGCTAGTAGAGTTACTCAAGTGGTAGAGTGCCTGCCTAGTGAGACCCTGAGTTCAAACCCTAGTACAGCCGGAAAAAAAAAAAAAGCACATAATGCTTAGACACTGGGTGTGGTGGTTCATGCTTACAGTCCCAGCACTCAGGAGGTTGAGATGGGAGGATCATGAATTAAAGGCCAGCCTGGGCTACATAGCAAGGCCCTGTCTCAAAAAAAGAAAAATGCCAAGTATGTTCTGTGTCCCTCACAACTCATTTTGTCATCATGTTCCTTCTGCATCTGCACCAGAATCAGGTGCTTGTTAGAATTGCAATTTGGTTTCTGTTGTCATCCTGGGAACTGAACCCAGGGCCTGTACATGCTAGGCAAGCCCTCTACCTTGGAGCTATTCCCCTGTCCCTATTAACTGCAGATTTGGACCCCACCCCCAGATGCACAGAATTAGGATCTCTGACATTGGAGGGACTCATCAGCAAATCATCAAAATGTATTCTGCTTGTTCATTTCCCACCATCTCTATTTCTAATTCTATTCCAAGACATTATCATCTGTTGTCTGGATCCCTACGGCCATCTAATTGGACTTGCTGCCTGCACTTACTGGCATTACGGTCTATTCTTCATACAGCATTCGGATATTCAAAAGCACGAATCTGATCTGCCACACCACCTCCCCACTGCTGAAAATGTTCCAAGAGCTTCCTGTTGTCATTAGAATAATTTTTTTCAGTGTCGGGGATTATATCCAGCTAGCACTCTACACTATGAGACTACAATTGAAAGCCCTTCAAACTCCATCATGATTGGGCCTTACCTACCTTTCCAGCTTCAACATATTTCTCTCTCTCTCTCTCTCTCTCTCTCTGTTCCTATACTTCAGCCACTCTGGTCTGACCTAATTTTTTTCTTCCTTCTGTTCTGGGGCTCAAATCCAGGGCTTTGTATGTGCTAGGTAAGCCCTCTACAACTGAATCATACTTCCACACTGAGTTATACTCCAGCCCCAACATCAGTATTCTGAAAGACACCAAGATTCAATTTATAACACTATGTTTGTTAAGTGAATGGATCAGAGCAAATGGATGAGAAGACTCATGTTACCTTCTCAGCACATTCTTTTCTCAGTAATAAAGCCTATACAGGGAGCGAAATTATAGACAGCAGTATAACGTCTTAATTTGCTCATTGTTATTTTCCCGAACTTAGCACTGTGACATGCATCTCTATAGGCACAAGATAAAAATATGATGAATAAATTATAGTTTTATAAGCTTAGACAGCATGTGGGTTTTTTTTGTGGTTGTTGTTGTTTGGGTTTAGGGCCTTCACCTTGAGCCACTCCACCAGCCCTATTTTGGGGCTGGGTTTTTTCAAGATAGGGTCTCTCGAACTGTTAGCCTGGGCTGGCTTTGAACTGAAATCCTCTTTGATCTCTGCCCCCTGAGTAGCTAGGATTATAGGCATGAGCCACTGGCACCTGGCTAACTTTTTTTTTTTAATGTGGTGCTAGAATTTAAACTCAGGGCCTCACACTTAGTAGGCAGCCACTCTCCACTCAAGTCACACTTCCAGCCTCCTCCCTTTTTAAAAATCATTTAAAAAATTGTTTTCAATTGTTTTCTTTATAAGATGTTCTTAATGAAAAATGTCTTCAAGCTAGATGCATCTGTTCTCCTTAGAGATACACCTGCCAATGTACCCAAACTACTAGACCACTTTTCTCCTAGACTGGGTTCTGAAGCAGAGATTTGGTTTAGTGGTGCCTCTCTCATGATTTTGTGTTCATTTAATAATATCGTTCCCAAACCAGGTCCATTTTGCCAGCTGTGTAGTATGCCAATCACCAAAACGATGGTTTTGCTAAAGAGATCCAGTTTATTCCAGTGTCAAACAAACATGTGGAGACAGGAGACCTTGTCTCAAATCTGCCTCACTGAGGATAAAGTGTAGGGGTTTTATGGGATGAAGAAGCAGGTGTAGGGAAAGCTCATCACAGGCAAAGTAAGTGAAATAAATTATGGGTGTAAATGCATAATCAGACTGTGTGGCTCTTCACAGGACACATATTCAGAAATGGGAGGCATCGGTGTGATCTGAGGATGGAACACTCAGGCCTGTGATGTCTAATGATGACCCATCCTACATCTGTGGAGTGAAGGGCTGGTGGTCTCAACCAGTTTGAAAAGCATCCACCATGGGTCATATGTCAGAGGTGTTGTGTATAGCAGAGCTAAGGGAAGTATGCTTACTCAGGCTTTCCCTTAGTTTCAGTATTGGAGTGTGATGCTTATTCTGAAAGATAGGTGGACATTGTACATTATAGTTGCTGGGGTAAATATGCTTTAAATTATATCTGTTATGGAGTTGACTGAGGTAACCAAATAAAATTGGCTAAGTCAGGTAAAAAGATAAAATGAAAAACCCACTATGTTTTAATATACTTCTAAGTATATGTAACTTTGTCCCTTTGAAAATTATTTTTTTAATTAATTAATTAATTTTATTATTATTGTACTGAGGGTACATTGTGACATTTTCAAAAGTTCTTACAATATATCATGGGTAAATTCACCCCCTCCATTTTTTTTTTTTTGGAACTAGAGTTTGAACTCTGAGGCTTGCAGTTGCTAAGATGGTACTCTACCACTTGAGCCATTCTGCCAATCCAAGAAGGTAAAGTCTCACATACAAAATTGTATTATCCTTTGACCGTGTTTCAAGGATGTGTCCTCTAGAAATTTTCACCTTGAGGCATGCTGGTTTTAAACTACCTTCAAGAGAGAAACAGTAACTGTTTTTACTTTTCTCTTCCTTTCTTTCCTTCCTTCCTCCCTCCCTTCCTTCTCGTTCTTCCTCTTTCCCTGCCTCCTTTTCTTCTTTCTTTCTATTTGCCCTGGCTGGCCTTGAACTGCCATACTGCCAATCTCAGCCTTCCAAGTAGCTCGGATTACAGGCATGAGCCACTGGCGCCTGGAGTACTTTTTTTTTTTTTGGTGGTACTGGAATTTGAACTCAGGGCCTACAGCCTTAAACCCCTCCACCAGCCCTTTTTTTTGTGATAGATTTTTTTGAGATAGGGTCTCTGAAACTATTTTCCCAGACTGGCTTCAAACCCTGATCCTCCTGAGTAGCTAGGATTCCTGGCATAACTTCTTAATTTAAAAAAAAAATGTAATCAAATTAATAGGAACAGGAAGTAAAATAAT